TAATGGATACTATTAGTAAAGGAGTAATGGATAGAATTACGCCTTTCTTACCCAATAAGAAAAAAAATACTTCTAATAATGATATGGATAAAATTACTAAGAGTATGGCAGAATTATCAATAAATAAGGCTATAGCAAAAGGTATTGAAGCAGGTGTTAATACTGTTATTAAATCATCCAAACACTGTTGTTTGAATTGTAATAGAACTGGACATAATTCTCGCAAGTGTACTCGTAAGAAAAGGTCGAAGAGTAGATCCAAAAAAAGAGGCAGTGTTAATAAGGTTGCTGTAGATTTAGGTTCAGATACAAACTCTTCTGATAACGATTCTTCAGATAATAACTCTGATTCTGGAGATTCCTCGTCTGAAGTTGAATCTGATCATAGTTTTGATGTACACTTCTCTAAAACAAAAAAAAACAAGTAAAGCAGAAGGGTAAATCAGATAAATCATTATCTAAAAAGTCTAGTTCAAAGAAGAGACAGAGTCTCGAATCTCTGATTCAACGTTCTTCACAAAAAATACAAAAAAAATCAGGTACAATTATCGACTCACAAATTCGAAAAATTATTCTAGCTATATTTAACGATCCAGAGGTTATAGAAACAATTAAAAACAATATTAATAATACAAATTTATCTATGACTCGAAGAGTCATCCCTAAAGGACCTGCAAAATCTGACTTTATAAATTTTCGAGAGCTGGTCTCAGAAATACCCGAATCAGATGACGAAGAGGAGACACTGAACGATCCTATGGAAATTGATTTTGTCCGTCAGAAAGAACTGGTAATTAGTATTGCAACTATACCAGTTAAGATAAAACACCTCAAAATTCCTGTATTGGTACTAGATAGTGGCACTGAGCCTGCAATTGTATCAGAAGATATTGTTAAATGTATAAATTGGCCAATTGATAAATCAGAAAAATATGATCTTAGTGGGATTGCTACAGTCTCAACAGAATCTATTGGTATTGCTCATAATTTTCCAATAACATTCTCTCCAGATTTTACTATACGTGAAGATTTTGTAGTTGTTTGAGTTCCTAAACTGACATTAATATTTCCAAATCCGCTTCTTAAAAAATATAAATATGCTGTAAACTGGGGTAACGATAAAATGAAAATTCATTACAATGGAGAAGATTTTATTATTCCAGTCACTATGCATAAAGTCAAGAATAAGCTTGAAGTAAACTGCGCTACTGCATTTCAGAATAATAAGTCATTGATATCTGATCAAATTTCTCAAGAGACAGATAGTAATGAGAGTGATAATGATCCATTGGAAGAATGGCATGCTCCTGCGAATTTTAACCTAGATTTTGATAATTCGACTTTAAAAAAAAATGCATAAATTGTGAGAGGTATGTGAAAGAAATGCATGATGCAACTAAAATTATTGTCAATCTCAATGCTCTTATTAAACATTATATGGAAAAAAATAGAAAGAAGAATGGATAAAGTTTAGAGTCTATATCTCATCGATCTTATACTCTGAATTTGCTAAATTCCTACCTTCACCTACTGCACGTCTAAATTGGGCAACTGTATCTGCATCTATTTTTTCTGTTGAATCCTTGAAAATAACAAGTGGATTAGATATTCGATCAGGCTTGGATTTCTTTGTTTTTGTTCGCTTATTTGGTTGTGCTGGCTCTATTGCAAAGCAATGGCTTGAAGAGTCTATTGATACATTGTTTAAAGGTTGAGATTCTATATGGAGAACATTCATGGTAGAATCAGATATATTAGAGGAGCTAGTGACAGCTGGAAGCTGGTTTACACCAAGACACTTAGTATTTTGATTTGATTCATCATCATTATTATATGAGTGGGGTATAGGTTGGTCCCAGAGAACTCTATTAGCTTTTTCCTCTCTCCAAATCTGATAAATACATTTTGATGATGTTTTATATTTATCCAATAACTCCTTTAAAATTTTGTATCTTGGCTTTATATTACGGCATTGCATAATATAAACATAATCATTGGAAGTAAATTGAAGTGCATCGTATTTCATACATACTCTAATCATAGTGATAAGCACTTTATTCTTTTTGTTATTTTGAAAATATAAGATATTTATATCTAGCGAAAAATATAAAATATATCAAAAAAATGTAATATATTAAATATATGGGTCCAATACTCATTTAAAATAGACATTCTAATCCGTTATATTTATATATTCTATTTGTTACAAATATCACATATATTTCATATAACATATCAAGCTCAATATATGTGTATAGTAGAGCTAGTGTCTCTGGCATATATTTAACTTTGCTAATTATATTTAATTTATTTTTTAGTAGGGATATTAATATGGGTATTAATGAAGAATTGCGTTATGCTACAAAAATTATATCTGATCTAAATACTTGCAATAAATCATTGAGAGCTGATCGATTAAAGCAAGAGCAGGATTTCGATCAAGAAAGAAAGGGATGGGATCAGAATAGAAAGAAGTGGAGTAAAAAACTAGAAGGGGCTAATACTGAGATCCAGAAATTACGTACTTATGATCTTGAACTCATTGATGAAGCTAGGCGTTTACAGATTGAAAATGCTAATAAAGATATTTCTCTTGCAAAGTTCAAAGCTGAGAATGATATAAAATTAGATCGCTTGAGTCTATGATTAAAATATTGGAAGGTAAGTTGTCTTCAGCCCAGAAAGATATGTTTTCGATTCAAAACGACTCATCAAAAAAAGAAACTGAGATCACGTCTCTCAAATCCAAAATAGCGAAAGTAGAACATAAGTTAGCTTCAAAAGTCAGTGAACTTGAGTATCTGAAATCGGAGGCTATATCAAACCCCATACTTGGTGAAGACGATGAGGGGCAAAGTCCCATTGTTTCCAAAATAAAAAATACGCTGTGCGAGGAACAAAGTTTCATAACCAAGCCTGACGATATATCTGCAATTAATGAGGAATCAGTGATTCGAGGCTATGCCTCATCTAGCAAAAATCTAAGTAAGTATTTTGTACGCGGAAAAAGTATGGATCAAGCTAAAAAATCGATGGTGAGATTACTGAACTACCAAAAAATGATACTGAGATCATCCCCAAGGTAAGCGATGAAACTAGCATTAACGAAATTAGTGCTAAACCGCATATGTCCTCTTTGATTAAATCAAATGCCCAGATGAAACCTAGTCTCGAGGCTTTTCCTCTTCCTGCTGTGGCAAGCACTTTAATGTCACCACTATCGGCATATATTTTTCTTGCTCTGTTAATTATTGCAGTTGTGTGATTTGTGAGATGCACATGGAATATAGGTAGGCTCGAAGTGCTGTCACAGGGCAAGTTTTAGTATATTATTAAGTTTAAAATAAAGATGGTCGCAATTAATTGCACTATAACACAATAATATAAGTAA